ATGAGAGAGAACTAGTAAAAAACTGGAGTAATTGGGGTTATTTAGCTTGAAGAAAAGGAGTGTTTGAAGGCCTGAATCCATAATGAGAGGTCCTAGAAGATTTGGTAGGCTTAAAATATAGCAGTGCTGATTCAGGTTAGACATGCAGCAAAGGTCCTAATAAGTATTTTATCCCAGGTAGAGAAGGACTGGCTTCCCCCTCCTTCAAAACAGAGTGTACAATGTGCTCCTCTTCCTTCAGCCTGGGATTAGGAGCTGTCCTGTTAAGAAGCAAGTGGCTGAATCAAGGGATCTCTTACAGACTGCAAGAAGTTCCTGAAGAAATAACAAGGGACCTTCTTAAGATCACCAAGTCCCATCATAGGTCTGCACAGGTCCCTGAGAATCTGAGAGGAACGTGGGAGTGAATTTGAGTGCCTGTGCACCACCAGGCCTTTCCCTTACCCACATCCCACTGACCCCCTACCCATATCTCCGCTTCCCTTACACATAGCCTCCCTATTCCCTCACTGACCAAGTACAGTCTGAGGCTCCCCAGAACCCTGGCCTAATTTCCTCAATGCTTCCGTTGGTCATCATATATCTCTTTCCTGATGAAAAGGGCAGCCTGACTGGGTGGGCAGAGCACCAGCCATGGAGAGTGTTCAGGGCCCTGGAGTCTAGTGTTATCTCTTCAGCTCTCTTACTTGGTGATACTGGGTGGGATACTTTCCTCCTCTAAACCCAGCTTTCCTCCTGTGGTAGGGAATGCAGCAGGATTAGGTGATTTAGAGCTCTAGTCCTACCCAAAGGTCTGTAACCTCTCCTAGAAGCCTTTGCTCTGGTCCTTGCTTACATTGCATTTTCCCCCAACCCAAACATCTTTATCTGAGCCCTGGGTCACTGTCTTTTGTGATCAATGATTATGAGTAGTTTGTGATCTGGGGCTGGAAATTTGTCTTTCTCTGGATCCTGTTTTTCCTTCCTCTATCCTCTAAAATAAACACCCGTCCTTTGACATTCCCTTTGAAACTTTGACCTCTAATGTAGACCATAATGGTTAGCCTTTTTCTTTGAGTACCCCCTAGAGAACCAGGATTCTGCCCTCCTAAGTCAGCAGGAGCCAGGCTATCTGCTTTATCATTCTAAGGAAGTCCTTTGCAAGTCAAAAGTTAGATTTCTCCATTCTGGAGAAGGGCTGAGAAATGTGACTGTTCCACTTGCAGAGGAGGGAGGAAGAGGACACCTTCCACTACATATCAATGGCAGTCATTCTACAAAGCGGTCATGACAGTTCAGAATGTCACCAGAGATCCCTGGGCTTCCAGAGAGTGAGTGGTGTCAAGAACGAGTATAGATTTATGTGGTAGCAGGCCTGAATTCAAATCCACCTCCTTGTGTTTAATTTTAGGTTGGGTGCTTAACGTCTCCATGCCACTGTTTCCTCAGTAGCAAGAGGGGAATAATTGTAACTCTTTAATTGGATTGTTCTGAGGACTGAAGGAGATAATATATATTAAGAACCTGACACTTAGTAGGTGCTTAATTAGTTCCTTTCCACCCTCACCATTATGATCACTCTCCGGCAAGCCCTGAGGAGATTGGCGGGGGACCATAGGAGACTCTAGGAACAGGCCTCAGGGTTTTCTTAGAAGTCCCTAATTCTACCTATGGCTAAGGTCAGATGGGAAGGAGGAGGAGAAGGACAAAAAGCTTTGTAGAGGTGGGGCAAGCATAAGCATATTTTCCTTTTTAATCTAGACTGAGAAAATACAGGCCTCTGTTCTCCCGGCAATGTGAAACAGTGCCTGTATTTACTGAACTATGGGACTAGACTCATGGACAGGTTTCCCTCATTGAGTTGATCCCTTTTTCAGCAGGTTTTCAAGATCCGCCATCAGATTGTGGCCAATCTGCCTGTCTTGGGCCCTGAACCTATTGAACATGAGGGTTTTACTGTTCTGTCACCTTAATGATAGCCAGCTTGTTAAGAATAAGCCAAAAGGGAAGGGGTGTAGGGTTGTAACTAATGAATCTGAATGACACTGTAATGCCTTGGAATGAATCCCTGACAGGAAGGTGATGGATGCAGAGAAATCCAAATTCCTTTAGTTTCTGGCCCAGGTTCCATGTGGGAAGATTGGTTGATGTGATTGATTGCTGTGAGGGTAAGATGAATGAGGATGGAAGAAGCTTGCATGGAGGGGGACCATGAGCTTTTTGGGGAAGTAGGCAAACTTTCATGGAATTCCCAATTGCTCCCAGTTTCATTAGTGAAAACCTCAGATATAAACCCAAAGAAAACACAAGGCATGTTCTCTTTGAATGACTGAACAGGGCAGCAAGGATGGTTTTGTTTCTGAAAATCCCCCCCTAAGATTATTTGGGAATGTCAACAAGGTCCTGGGGAAAAGGTCAAAGCATCAGGTACCTGGGATCTTTGGATGGAGAGTCAGTTAGGAATGAAGGGAGAAAATCTAGTTTGTTCATTTTCCTAGCACAGTGTCACAACTCAGGTTTCATGATGGGTACTTTGGCATCTATGTTTATTGAGGGTTTAACCTCAAGACCAGATAATTTTGTTTTTTTTCCCCTGAGCCCCAAGGAAATAATCTTTTCTTTTGGTTGCCTATTTCTTCACCAAAATTTTTGTGCTTAGATAGTGTCTCTTCCATTCCCCCTTCTACTACCACCACCACCACCACACACCCACACCCACACACACACACCCACACACACCACACTTCCTTTCTCTGTCACTAACTGTAGTGTGTTTTTTTTTTACCTTCCTTAAAAGGAAGAGGTAAAGGAAATCTTCCACTTCCTTGACATAGGCTGCATTTTTATGAATTTTTCCTTGTCTCTGGTCTCTGGCATCTGTGATAGTTCCCCCCCCCCAAGCCCCAGTAGATAGTTGTGTGTCATAGCTGCACATCCTTCTAGTTGCTGTATGTGGGATGCGGCCTCAGCATGGCTGGAGAAGCAGTGCGTCAGTGCGCGCCTGGGATCCAAACCCGGGCCGCCAGCAGCGGAGCGTGTGCACTTAACCGCTAAGCCACGGGCCGGCCCTCTGTGATAGTTTTAAATGCACAGAAATAAGAGAGACTAGAGTGGACTTTCAAGGCACCTGCTTATGGTTTCTTTTGAGATGCCAACTTCCTTAATGAATATTCCACCTTCCTTTTCACTCAAAAAAAAAAAAAAAAAAGGATTGGTTATTTCCTGTTGAAGTTAAAAACATAACTTATGGGCTGGCCCTGTGGCTTAGCAGTTAAGCGCACGCACTCCACTACTGGAGGCCCAGGTTTGGAGCCGGACATGCACTGACGCACCGCTTCTCCGGCCATGCTGAGGCAGCGTCCCACATACAGCAACTAGAAGGATGTGCAACTATGACATACAACTATCTACTGGGGCTTTGGGGAAAAAAAGGAGGAGGACTGGCAATAGATGTTAGCTCAGAGCCGGTCTTCCTCAGTAAAAAGAGGAGGATTAGCATGGATGTTAGCTCAGGGCTGATCTTCCTCACAAAAACAAAAAACAAAACAAAACAAAAAAAACTCATTATTAATTCTTTTTTATGACAAAAATATTTATGGTAGACAAATGCAAAAATACAGAAAAACACTAAAAGGAAAACAAACCACTCTATTTTGATATTACATGATAGCAAACATTTTCATATTTTTTAAAACGAAATTGGGTTCATCCTGAACATACTGTTTTGTAATTAACTTTATTCACTTAATTATATCATGCATGTTTTTCATGTTACTAAATATTTCTCTAGAATATTATTATTATTATTATTTTTGTGAGGAAGATCGGCCCTGAGCTAACATCTGCCAATCCTCCTCTTTTTGCTGAGGAAGACTGGCCCTGAGCTAACATCCATGCCCATCTTCCTCCACTTTATAAGGGATGCCGCCACAGCATGGCTTGCCAAGCAGTGCATCAGTGCGCGTTCGGGATCGGAACCGGCGAACCCTGGGCCGCTGCAGTGGAGCGCACGCACTTAACCGCTTGCACCACCGGGCCAGTCCCCTAGAATATTATTTTGATGGTTAATATTTCATTGTGGGGCCATGATTTAACTAGTTTGCCCTACTGTTGAGCATTTAAAGTGTATTCTAGGGGCTGGGCCTGTGGCTTAGCGGTTAAGTGCACGCGCTCCGATGCTGGCGGCCAGGGTTCGGATCCGGGGCGTGCACCGTTGCACCGCTTCTCCGGCCATGCTGAGGCTGCGGCCCACATACAGCAACTAGAAGGATGTGCAGCTACGACATACAACTATCTGCTGGGGCTTTGGGGGAAATAAATAAATAAATAAATAAAATAAGATAAAAAATAAATAAAATGTATTCTAATTTAAATCATTAAACATTTCTCCACTCTTGGTGATCAGTCATTTTACTTGTTTATTTAACATAGCTGAAATACCTCCTCCCTGCAGGGTGCTTGGTTTGTAGAGAGAGGAGACTCCCAAGACTGGGATGCTCAGACTTAGGAGACCAGTGGCTGAGCCCCCAGGGCTCTCTTTATGGGAAACTACTCCTCTCCCAAAGATTACCATCAGTGGAAGATGTAGAAGTGCAAATGAGGAAGGTAGAATCCACAACTTTCCTAGTCTCTTGCCCTGGGGCCCAGGTCCTCCGTGTACAGACACCCCAGGAAGCCCAAATTAAGAGTGTAAACACACTTTGAATATGGTTCAAGTTCAAAGGGCTTCCTTGTTCCTTAAGTTGCTTAGGTTGCATTAAAATAACACCTTCTAAATCTAGGAATCTGGATTGTTTTCCTATTCCCCAGTTCCTGGGTCTTCATTTTATTATCTGTCAAACAATGATATCAAGGGAGTTGGATATTTCCAGTTTCTCCCTTAGCCTTGTGCAAAATTGGGATATAGAAGCAGGGTTTCCCATTCCCTTTCTGATCCCAAGGTTTCCAAAGAGAAATAAAAGGTTTCAGCTGGATATATATTCTAGAAGCATTTATTGCAAAATGAAGTTGAGTTCCCAATCTGGGAAAATAAAACAGAGTCATTTTACAGCTCTTTGGGGGAAAATCCCTCCTGGGGGGCCTTGTCTGGATAAGTTGTAGTCACCTGTGTAAGTCCACTTACTGTGACTGGTCCTTCTTGGTGGCTCCAGAGATAGTTTCTGAGCTGGAAGAGTCCTCAGGTTATGTTAGGTCCTGGTTTCCCCAGGGTTAGGTGGGAAGAACTTTTCAAAAGTGCATACTCAGGTGAAAAACCCAACACCGTAAAAACCTCCCATTAGGCAAGTATGTGTCTCTGCCCCACTGATCTGCCTGAACTTGTAGTTGGTCTTTCTGGAGCTAGCCAGACTAGGGGAAGGTTGCTCCTTCAGGAGTCTGGACAGAACTCTTTCATTTTTTGCTTCCATTCCTTCTGATTCTCAGCACACTGGGTTGGACATGGTCTGAAACGTACAGGGACAAGTACTTTGAAGGTCCTTCTGGATATGGACCCCAAACCAAACTCCCCCTTTAGCAAGCTGCAAAAGCACAGGCACAAAGATCAGGATGTAACTTGTAGGAAAGATGAAATGGGGTCTGCCCAAGTTAGGAGGCCCAGGTCCCAATTTCAGCTCTGTCAAGAATATGCTGTATAAACTCAGGCCTCTGTTTCCCCATGTGTAGCATATATCAAGAGGACTACAGACCAACCTTGTGATTTTCCAATTGTTTTCCAATCTTCTCTTTCCAAGAAAGAAGCTGTGTCCCCCTCCACTGTCATGCAACTGAGCAAATGAGTTTGTGTGGGGTGCTATCTTGTGCTGCCCTTGCCCCAGGACAAAGCACTGCCTGGGGAGCGCCTGCAGTAGTACTTGTTCACCACATGCCTACACTGGTCACACTTGACTGTACAGCACCACTGGAATTTGCAGTTACAGCTGCTGATAGCCTCAGTCTTCCTCTCTTCCACCTGCAGGCCACATTCGGTGCACAAGCGCCCGCAGCTGCGTCGCTCCCACCTGGATGTGTTGTGGCTGTTCTGCAGACACTCCCGACCCTCTGTGCCATAGATGCCCAGGCTAGAATTGCGGGTACAGTAATCTGGCGATTCCTCTAAAAAGATCAGCTCAGCCTCTGCACTGGGAAGGAAGGCCTCAGTGGGTGCCCAGCAGCCCTCAGCACTGTTCCCAGCCCTTGGCTGCCGCTTATCCATCTCAATTTTCAGTGCCTGGTCATACTTGGCCTTTAGGTAGTCTCCCATCTCCCGGAAGTCAGCCAGCTGCAGCCAGCATGTCTGGATGCTGCAGCTCCCTGAGATGCCATGACATTTGCAGGTCCTCTTCATGGTGGCTCTCACTGCCTTCACAGAGAAAGAAAGAACAAAAGAGAGAATGGCTCTGAGTAGGGAAGACCAAAGGCTAGCAATTAAATGGCATATTTTAGAGCTGTGCTTCTTAACTTTGGAGGAGCATCAGAATTACCAGGGAGGCCGGCGAAAAATATTTATTCCTGGGCCCTACCTCAGATCTTCTCAATTAGAATGTTCAGGGGTTTAAAGGCCTTGGTATTGGTGATTTTAAAGCTCCCCTGGGTGATTCTTATGGAAAGCCCAGCAAGCGTTGAGAAGGTTACTGGAGTCAGGAATCCTAGGCTCCAGGCCCAACTCCATCAGTTGTTGAGCTTGTTTCTCTCCCTGCCCAATTGGAATAAGAATCATCAAGAAAATACTTAGAAAATTAAAAAGGAAAATATGATCATTGGCACTGTTATTATCTTGAAGCTGGGGGCTAGAATATTTGTGGGGGTTTGGATTTGTCCTCTGGGCCCTTTCCCAGAGGGAAGGAAGCTCCTGGAGTCAGAACCCCTACCCCCAAGGTGATTACCTATTATTGTAATTGCCTTGAAAACCTCTCCCTCTTGCCCTGGGCAACCAGGACATCTAGGTATAGGTTGAAAGGGAAATTTCTATGCTCTTAGCTCTAAATCCAACTTGCTTTCAGATTTGAGTTCAGAACACTCCAGGGATTGCTATTCCACCAGAAGTCTTGGGGGAAAATAGACCCTCGGGAGAAGCTGAGACAGACCTTAGGACACAGGTTGGATGACAAATCCCTGTTAATTTCCTAGAGTATGCAGTTGAAATAGTTAAAAATTTAAGTCTTGGAAGCAAGGCCTTGGTTCTGTATTGTTTTGTGTTCTCAGAAACCCGCCTGTGGAAGAAGGCAGAACATAAGGTTTAGTGATAAGAGGACTAGACTAGAAGATCTGAGTTCATTGCCTGGCTCTGATGCTTATTAGTTGTATTGCCTTGGGCCTTAACTGGCTTTGTCATCCAAGGAATGGGGGTAGCCATCCCAGTCCTGCTAGATGGTGTGAGGATGAAACATGGGTATGAGACAGCTCTTTGTAAGTTGTGAAGGACTGTACAGATGTGAGGCTGTTGCCAATACTGAGCCTGATGGCTCACTGGCTGACTCCTATACCTACCAGCCTGCCTGCCCTGTTGTTGTGAAGATTCATTAGGGCTCTGGCATCCTTTCCCTTCTCCAGGCTGTCCACAAAGAGTTTGGAGATCCTTTCCCCAAATTCCACATTATCACTGCAGCCCCCCCAGATCCAGCCATGGCCTCCTACACATAAAGAAAGAATAAGTTCTGCATACAGCTCCTTGCTGGAGAAGAGTCATGGTCATCTTGGCTGACACAGCCAACCATCCCCAAGAGCCCTAGAAGTGTGTGAATCTATAGCTGAAGGTGAGACAGGGAAATGGAGGTGCTCTGGGGTGGGTAGGGGGGAGTCCTGTTCCCAAAGCCAACTTCCCACCCTTCAGGCACTCTTCAGTTTTAGGCAATTAGTCTCTATACCCACAGTAAAAGTAGGCACACTGGGGCTGGCCTAGAGATCTCAAAGGTACATCACAACTCAAACATTCTGGAATTCTGCACCATTATCCTACAATAGTCTTGTTAGAGCCACCTCTTCCCTCATTAGTGATAAATCTGAGTAAGTCTCTTAGGCGGTCTGCAAATAATTGAGTAGCTCTGGATTACGGACAAGCCATTCTAAGCCTGAAATACAAGCTTTAAACTCTCTTTGGCCTCCTTATTTCTAGATCCCTTGTTAGTTTTAAAGCTGGGTGTTACTAGCTGATTCTGGAACCATGGATCCAGGCTCCTCTCTCAGGAGAGTCTAGGTCCAGGAGCTCCCACCAATGAAGTTGCTGTTGGAGTCTAGGGGTTTGAGGGAGCTGGAGCTGTGTCCCTTGGCCTCTCCCTGGAAGACTTTAGCCTGTGCTCAGCTCTGCACCCCTCACTTCTTCCCCTCATCAGAGAGCCCGCCTTACCTGTTTTTCCATTTTTTGACTCATCACAGCCACAGTTTTCAAAGTCGCCCATGCTACAGTTCTTGGTGATAGTGTACATGACTCCAGCAGAGCTGATAGCATGAATGAAGGAAGTCTCCCTAGTAGCTTTGGAGAGAAAGAAGGGTCTGGAAACTTGGTCCCTGATGACCCAAAGCAGAGGCTTTGGAAAGGCAATGCTATTTCTCTTCCTTGTCCCCCATCCCCTTTGGGTTTAAAAAGATGCTCTTCTACTTAAGAGAACAGAGCATATCTCTTTACTTCATACTTAGTTCATCCAGGCAGGAATGAGCATCCCCATGCTACAGATGGGGAAAGTAAAACCCAGAGACAGAGTGATGAGACCAAGGCCACTCTCCTCACCAGTTGTGGTGGTGGGACCAGGACCCTGCTCTCCTGAAGTCCAGCCTAGGCCCCTGTCCATTAGCTACTGCTTCTGGTCCTTGGGCCGTGAGGACTCAGGGCCATAAGACTGGCTTAGGAAAGTGAGAAGGACCTTTTCTTCTTTCTGACATGAAGCTGGAGCCATGTAATAATCATAAGGGTCATGGCTACCACTTAGTAAGCTCATATCTTACTAAATTCTTTATAAACACTGTCCCATTTCATTTCCCACACTCCCCATTCTATCTGTACACCCCATGGGAAGATAGTTCTTTTTGTCCCCATCTTTTTTACCCTCTTCCCCTCAACTCTTCTCAGGTAACTCTTAATTGTTTCTACATAAATGACTTTTATGCAAACGACTACACAGAGTTACACACAGCTACGCGCACGCACACACACACATACACACACACACCACCTCAGGCACAGCTCAATGTGATCTCTCAGCTTCTCTGTTGGGATTTTATGACAGCTGGGCAGATGGGAAACTCCTTCAGAGGCTGCAAACACAGAACCCTTTCCCGATCTTTATTTCACATAAATCAGTGCAAGATAAGTGTGTACAAACACACAAGTACAGGGATGCATTTAAAAAACAGAGTAATTTTTACATTCATATAGAGATACCTTTGTATTCACCTCATTCAACCCTTACAATACTCCTGGTGAGCTAAAGAGAGCTGGCCTTATTGCCCCAAATGGCAAAACTGGGGTTGAGAGAGGGGAAGTAACTCACTCAAGGTCACATAGCAAAGAAGTGGCAAGTCAGCAGATCACTGATAGCTTTTCCATTTCACTGTGCACATATATGTTACACATATACATATACTGCAAGCCCACCTCCATGCACAATACCCCCCTGTACAGGTGAACAAACTTACCACTTCTCAGTCTGTTGTGAGTGGAGAGCTGGAGAGCATTTTCGGGGCAGTTCCAGCGTTCCCAAGCAAATTGGAACTTACACTCCTCGATGCCACTCTGGGCACCCAGGGCCACGCTGGTAGTGTAGGTCAGATAGGCCTGGCAAAGGGAAAAGGGCTATGAGCTTCAGCCCTGGCTCAGGTCAGGTCATCAGGGGTTGGGGGAGCAGGCAGGACTCAAATGGGTTAGCTCTCCATTAAGGAACGATCATGGGTTCCTCTGGGTGGGGGACTTCTGGCACTGTCTCCCCTCCCCTCTTTTCTTTCCCCAAAAGAATTCCCTTAGGAGCCCCAATGGGTAAAAACAGGACCCAGAGAACATCCTACCTTGGGACCTGTTATCAGGAAATTGTTCACTGACCTACCAAAAAGAGAAAAAGTGAGGCAATGGTGAATGCGAACGAGGTAATGGGGGCTTCCTTGACAGAGAGTGAGGGGTAGGAGAAAGGACTTACCAGGCAGAGGCACTGAAGGTGGCATAGCATATGCCCACAGCCACCCTGAGCATAAACAGGTCTCCCATGGCCTTGCCCACCCCCAGGGGACCAGGTCCAGCCCAGGGCCAAGTCCAGGGAAGAAGTGAGGGGAAGGCAGGGTCTTTCTCCGTATTTATGTGGGGAAATTCTGAATGGCCAAGGGGGAAAAATCAACAGCTCTTCTCATTTGTCCCTCACTGGCAGGGCTGCAGGAGCCACTGACCCAATGGGGGACCAGGGAGGAGGGACTCAGCCCAAAGCCTCAAGGAAAGCCCCGCCCTACCCCGCCCCCCCTGCCCTTCTTCCCTCCCGGGCTGACAGACGGCTAAAGCCTTTCCCTACTCTCCAGGTTTCTTTCCTCTATATATCAGACTTTTGTCTCTTCCTGCTTGAGGGCTCATTTCTCAGAATCTTGTAGCCTGGAGCAGGTGAGGTTCCTAACCCTGAAGGTAAGTCACCTATCCATCAGAGCTACAGACAGTATCATCATCTGTCAGTGAGACCCCACTCCTTGCCCTGCCTTCCTCCCCAAGGTGTTAATAATTATAGAGGGGCTCTATTTGGGGCCTCCTCCTACTCATTTACCCAAGTAAGCAAGTGCACCATTCCTACCTCCTCCTTTGGTGACTGTAAAGTCATGGAATTGTGGGACCATGGAGCAGAAACACTTCAGAGGCCATCTCTCCAACAGTCCCTTCTACCACATTCTACCAAAGTCAGTTCTAGTAAATTTCCTTGATTCCTAGTAGGTCTATAATTTTGTATTTGAGGGTTAGATCTCCAGTTTGTTAACTGCTTGTATACTTCTGTGAGAATCAACCTTTGGGCCACCCAGGGCTATATTTGAAAAGACTGATGCCTTTCTTTCTGACACCACTTTGTTGCTAGGACATCAGCTCCTTAGGCCGCAATCTGTCTCTAGATTCACTTTGTATTCTTAGTGCTTAAGAAGATTCCTGGATGAATGAACAAATGAATGAATGAACAAGTTAATGAAAGAACTTGTGGCCCCTAGTAGGGACCCAAGGCACCATTAGGTAGGGTTGGGGACTATGGTGAAGGGATGGAGATCTTCCTTGGTTGGTGAGGCTCTTTCCCAGGCCTGGGGATGGCAGGCTAGAGAGATTCAGAGGAAAGTATGAACAGGAAGTCACAGTCCTGATTCATTACCCTGTGACCATCCATACCCAAATCACTTCCCAGCACCCTAATTTAGATGAGAAAGGGAGTTCAACATCCCCCCACCAAAGGTGTTTCAGGGGCCAAGGAATCCCAGGCCTTTTTAGGGCAGTGCACTGAAAGTATGGGCCAGGATTGGTGTCAGTCTGCAAACTGTTATCTTTCTATGACAAGATAAGTACGGAAATGAAAGTGTTTAGGAAGTTTTACAGAATTTGACAGAGTAATTTTAGATATGTTGAACCTAATAATAAGAAATTTGGGCTCCTATTTTATGTCCTTTTTTCTGTTCCATTTTTCTAGGAGAATGGGTGCGAAAATTCCAAATGCAAAATATCCTTAATGGACTAAAGCTCTGCCTCTCAGACCAGCAAGCTTTCTTCTTTGCTTGCTTGTGGGCTTCTCTCCTTGGCGAAAAGAGGTGTCCCAGACTTGAGTCACTTGGGAAAAGCCCGCTGAGTGTGCCTCAGTGGTCTTTTCTCTGTTTCCTATTTTTCCCAATCAAGAATCTAATGTTTAACTTGCACTTTTTTTTTCCTGAGGAAGATTGGCCCTGAGCTAACATCTGTTGCCAATCTTCCTCTTTTTGCTTGAGGAAAATTCGCCTTGAGCTAATATCTGTGCCAATCTTTCCTCTATTTTGTATGTGGGTCACTGCCACGCATGGCTCCTGACGAGTGGTATAGGTCTGCACCCGGGAACTGAACCCTGGGCCATCAAAGTGGAGTTCACAGAACTTAACCACTAGGCCACAGGGCCGACCCTAACTTTCACTTCTTAAAAGTGAAAAAGCAGCATTGATTTCCATGCCACTTGCTGTGGGGTTAGAACAGGCTTAGCGTTAGCCCTGAGGTAGTCCCCCGATGCACCTTGAGTTTTAGGTGTGACTCTACATTCACTTCCTGTATATGAGTGAGTGGATCTTATTCTTCTGTGTTCCCATAGCACCTGGCATTTAGTTGGTTCTCTATAAAAATACTCTGTTTTACTTTCTAGGAAGCAGAGGGGAAGGTAGTGAGCTTTTTGTCTGCAAACTTTGTGCTTGCTCCTGCTCCGATTCTCTAAAGATCATATAATTTCTCTAAAAGGAATTTAGTATGTTTGGGAAAGGCCTCTGCTCCAGGTATTAGGAGCCCTGGGGTTTGGCCACTAATTTGTCATGTGACCTTGGGCAAGCTATTTACCACCTCATGGACTCAGTTTCTTCATCTGTAAAAGGAGGGAGTGGAAAAAATGTTGAACATTGAATGACCTCTAAAGACTTTCCCAGCTCTCTTACATGCTAGAATCCTATTTTTAAGATTTACAGAATTTATTAATCCCAGAGGTGATTGTAGGCTGGAAATGAGGAAGTCTCATTTTCCCCAGCTGTCAGCATGGGAATCATCTTATTTATCTTTGAATCCTTTAGTTGGCCACCAGGATAGACCTGTAAGATGGATACCTAGAGGACAACCAATACCTTCTTCAGAGTCCTTTGGGGCTCTGTCTGCATAAGACCTCTGTGCTGGAGTGACCCAAGTCCTTCATTGTGGATAGAAAGTCCCCTGGAAGGAGAGAAGAGCCAGAGACAGGCACTCCACACTGGAGTCTACAAACCATTTGCAGCCAACCTGTGTATCATTTCCTTAACCCCAGCTCTATTATCTCAGTAGTATTTAAGTGACAATCCAACTCTTGGTTTCTCTCTCCCAGGAATGGAAATATGGAACTGAAGACTAGAGCAGAAGATGACAGAGGAAATAGAGCGGGCCTATGACAAGACAGAATAGTAGTGTCTCTGAACCTACACTGGTGTGCTAGTAGATGTTTAACAACTAGCTTTAGTGTGACAGGAGCCATGACTGGTAGTGTTTGCTGATTTCCATGGTGTAAATACTCCCACCATTGCCGATTTCAAACTACCAACATGGACTTGAGAAGAGATGAACAGTAGCACATCATTATACAATATTTCCATCATGTAGATATAACAGATGTAAATAACCTTCAGAACATAGATAACAGTAAAATGTAGTAAAATATTTAGGAAGTGGTGAATTTTGAGTACTTTTTATTTTTGTTTTTAATATAACATTTAATTTTAAGTTTATATAATTTAATTTTTAATAATGGCTGTATTTAACAACCAGTTTGCCAAATTCCTGAAAATTTAACAATCTGCTTTCTGAGGTGGGACAAGCTGCCTTCAGTACACCATTGGAGCCCTGTGTCCTCCCTCTAGGCCACTGGGGGATAAAGTACAAAAGATTTCTCTGTGGAGTTTAACACCAAATATTTATTTGTTCCAGTTGTGTGCAAACCTTTAACCCTTGCTGAGCCGTAGGTCTTGCTACCTGCCCTCAAGGAACTTAGTATCTAGTAAATAGGAGATAAGGTATCTATCTAACTCTATGGGCAGAAACTGGTAAGTGAAATACAATTAATAAATGCATGTACCTCTGGAAAGGTATTCACAGAGCTAGAAAGGAGCTAGGACCGATAATCCTGAAGGCCCCTTCCACCTCTAATGTTCCAGGATGTTGCGATTCCAGGAGTCCTAGGGAAGCACTGGTGGCTGTACTCAATGAGGACTAAGTCACCCTTGCTATGCCCAGCTTCAGGAAATCTAGAGGCATTCATTCACAGGACCACAGAGTGTCTGACCCAGAGGGTCCCATTTTACAAGGAGGTAACTGAGGCACAGAGAGAGGGGACTTAGGGTTACATAGTGAGTCAGGACCAAGAGAGCCTGGATCCTTCCATCTTGGTTTGTCCAGGACTGAGGGGTTTCCTGTGGTGTGAGAATTTCAGTGCTTAAACCTTGGATGGTTAGTTACCCTATGATGATGATGGTATGCATCCCAGGCTAATGCTTCTTTCCAAATGTGCACTTTCACTAAAATCCCCAAATCCCTGGTTCCTCCACATTTCTTTTCCAGGCTCTCTCCAGGGCTCTGAGCCTACAGGGGCTGCTTAGATTGTGGAGCAAGTTGGGGAATGGGAGGGTGGAGGTGGCTGGAGAATGCCAGAAGTGAGATAGGATTTCTGACTTTTTACACTCCTCTGCTAATTAGATAAGGGGGTTGAGGAAGGGGGACAATGAGCCTCTATGCATATTCTTCTGAGCTGTGACACTGAGCAGAGCTTAGGGATTTTCAATCTCTGGTCTCCACCCCTCCTCCCTAGAAGCTTGTCTCTTCCCACCCCCTGGGGATACTTGACTCCCAGTCCAAATGCCACAGCTGCTTGAGCTCCTGACCCTCCCTTTGGCCCCCCAATTTAGCCACAATGACTTGCAAAGTTCCTCAACATATGCCCAGAGAAGGAAGAGGAGAATTTAGTTTTCCCTTTCAGACCCAGAGTTCCAGGTGTGGGGAGGAAAATAGGAGGCCCTCCTGTGTGGAAAATGGGAGCAGTTGGTGGTCTGTTGAACACATGGGTCTATGAGGGCTAGGGTACGTTAGAGGGGATAAATCTGCAAGCCATGACTAGATCTACTTCATGTTTGAAGGTGTGTTCCCTTCATCAATCTGCAAGCCCCCTAGGGCTAGGGTTGTCAATCCCAGCCACATGGGGATCTCTCCAAGGATAGCAGCATATTTCTCCCATCAGACTGAGGTGCACAGATGGCAGAAGCTACATCTTCACCACTAGCCTAGGAAGGTTTGGAGTTGGAGGGGCTTATCCAAGGAGAGATTTCAGATGGCTAAAACCCCTGTATTATATTTTTTATTCTCTCACTGATCTAAACTCCCATCTTTGGACACTGGATAGGACACAGAAGTTCCCAAGTAATGTTTCTTGATTGTTGGGGAATAAAGTATGGAGATGATTGTGGGATTTTTATTAGTTTTCAGAGAAATATGCATCCATCCATCCATTTATT